TTCTCGACAAATCTTTTTGAAATCACTTTCGGACCGGGTTTTATCCCGTCAACCACGGCAGGACCGGGTTTTATCCCGCTGGTCGCTTATATCACGTTGGGACCGGATTTTATCCTGCCAACCACGGCAGAACCGGGTTTTATCCCGCTGACCGCTTATATCACGTTGGGACCGGTTGCTGGCCGCTTATATCACGTTGGGACCGGGTTTTATCCCGCTGACCACTTATATCACGTTAGGACCGGGTTTTATCCCGCCAACCTCGGCAGGACCGGGTTTAATCCCGCTGACCGATTATCAAAGGCAGGCTCGAGTGTAATCCCACTGACCAATTTGTCAAAGGCAGGCTCGGGTTTAATCCCACTGTCCAATTCATCACACTGGGGCAAATCTTTGGATAATTTTTCGAGCAAGTCTTATACAGTCTCTTCATACATACCAGCATTTCTTTTATACTGCCACTAGCCGTTGGGTCAATCCCACTAGTGCGCATGTCTTTTATTCTGCCGCTAGCCGTTGGGTCAGTCCCACTAGTGCGCATTTCATTTTCTTCGCCACTGAACTTGAGTTAGTCCCACCAGTGAGCATTTTATTTTCTTTGCTTTCTTTGCCATTAAACATGGGTCAGTCCCACTAATGTGCATTACATCTCATCGTTAGACATGGGTCAGTCCCACAAACCCTTCATTTCACTTCACTTCATCCTTTTAAATTCTCATTCGAGTCAGTCCCGATTTAAATTCCTGTCGGGGTCAGTCCCCTTTTAAATTTCCTGTTCGGGCCAGTCCCATGATTCAAATCTTATTCGGGTCAGTCCCATGATTTTAAATTTTATTGGGTCAGTCCCATGATGTTTTAAATTTTATTCGGGTCAGTCCCATGATTTTAAATTTTATTCGGGTGAGTCCCATGATTTTTAAACTTTATTCGGGTCAGTCACATGATTTTAAATCTTATTCGGGTCGGTCCCATGATTTTAAATTTTATTCGGGTCAGTCCCATGATTTTTAAATTTTGTTCGGGTCAGTCCCATGCTTTTTAAACTTTATTCGGGTCAGTCCCATGATTTTAAATCTTATTCGGGTCGGTTCCATGATTTTAAATTTTATTCGGGTCAGTCCCATGATTTTTAAATTTTGTTCGGGTTAGTCCCATGATTTTTAATTTTATTCGGGTCAGTCCCATGATTTTAAATTTTATTCGGGTCAGTCCCATGATTTTAAATTCTCATTTGGGTCAGTCCCATGGTTTAAAATTTTTGTACAGTCTTCATTGCAAAAGCGTCAGTCATTCGAGTCGTTCGCAGCCGAATAACACAGGTAAGTATTTGGTGTCTATTTCTTTGTCTCAAGTTTTTCCAAAACTCAGACAAAGAGGGGCAAACTGTAGACACCAAATTTTTAAGGTATTTTGTTTACTATTATTTTTATTTTTAATTAATTTCATTTACTTTTAGTCTTTTATTTTTAAGTCATTTTTATCACATAATTAAGCTTTAATCATTTAATTTTTAATTTTTGTTTGTTTCGATTCTAGGTTTTCATTTTATTTAATTTTTTGTTTTGATTCGTGTCTCTTGCCTTACTTTAATTGAATTAAGAGTTTTTTGCACTAAATTTTCAAAATGAAAAAGGAAAAGAAAAAGTCAATCAAAGGGACAAGAACAAGACACCTAAGCCTGTTCTGGAGTTTGAAATCTTGGCATTTCATCTTAGGTTTAGATTTCTTTGGGGTGCCTTTAAAATGAAAACAGTCGCAAGAGAGAGCGGAGAGGAGGTTTTCGTCTAGGGGAAGCCAGAAACGGCCAAAAGAGAAAACAAAAGCGAGGAGGTTTTCATCTGAGGGAATCAACAAAAAGGAAGGGCTAAGAAGCAAGAAAGAGAGGAAGGCTTCGGCTGGGTTAGGAGCTGGAAAGAACGAAGACAGAACAAAACAGAGGAGAAAAGGGGGAGTGACGGCTGAAAATCTAAAAAGAGAGAAGGCCGAGAGATGTTTCGGCTTAAAAGACAAAGCAACGACAAACGGAAAAGAGGAAAAAAAGAAACAGAGGCAGACAGACGAGGAAAGAAAAAGGCAAGGGGCAACGAAAGAATAAAGCCTGCGAATTTGGGGGATTTTGGGGGTTAGCAGCCGAGAGAAGATCTGGGGAAGTCTTGAGGGCTGATAAGTTTTGGGCATGAGAGCTTCGAGAAAAAACAACAGAAAAGGAAAAAACAGAGGGGCGGACAAGAAACCTACGGGCCAGAAAATGAGAGAGGGAGACTGAGGGAGGAAGAGATAGAAAAAGAAAAGGGAGAAGATGAAATGGAAACAAGAAAAGCAACGGCAGCAGCGACGCAACGGCTGAGAAAGGGGAACAGAATGAAGAGGCCCTGCGGCTGAGGGAAAAAAACAGAGCGACGGATGGAGAGCCGCAATCCACTGCCGCCTGTGAATTGACATCGTGAGGAACCACCGTGAGAGACCAAGGTAAGTTTTTCTTTTACATTTCAGTCTTCCTTCAAGTACGGGTTCTGGAAGCTCATAGCGCATGTCTGCCGTGGGTTTGTTATTGCAATTTTTCCGTTGGTGGTCTGCAATTTTTGTTTGCATATGTTTTCTGTGATTGTTGGGCTGAATTCCTTGCTTTTTCTGATGATTTTGGGGCCGGTTGTAATATAAATTGGGCAAAGATTTGTTGAACTTTTTAATGCCCCCAATCTGTTTGACGAAATGCCTGAGCTGAAAATTCTTATTGAAAGATGTTTTGTTTACATTTTTCGTGGGAAGAAAACGGTTGAGTTGGCCGATTCGTTTCCCTTACGTTTAAGAAATTTGGATGAATTGTTGTCTTCCATTTCTCTGTTTCTCACGATTCCGGATTGAATGAACTCGAATTGAAAGGGTATGAGAACAAGTTTGTGTGACTTTCGTGTTGATTAGAATGGTTAGAATTTTGGTATTGTTCTGGTTCTAAGAACGACAGAAATGGCGGATTGATGTCTGGGGGAGAAGACCGTTGGTCTAAAATGTCCATTTCAGTCCCTCTGTTTTCGTTTTGTTTTGCAATTTACCTGAGGGTTGCCGAACTTCATAATTTTACCCCCCAAACTGCTATAATTCATTCAATTGGGTCCCTGCTTTTGTTACATTTGAGCCCCTCAAGCTGCCCTTTGTTCTGTCTTGGCCCAGAAAATTAGATACTTTAACCAATTTTGTCCCTTTAAATGTTTTCTTTTTTGATACGAGTTAATGCGATTTTTGGGTAGATTAATTCTGGGATTTAATGCATAATCAAAGCTTAGTAATTTTTTTTAGTTGGGTTTTTATCTTGTTGGGTTAGTTTTATGGTTTAGGTTGTTGGGCCATTTGTTTGGGTTTGTAAAAATGGGGTTTAATTCATTTTTGATTGGGTTTCTGACTTGGGCTTAGAAAGTAACAGCCCACTCTTTTGGTTGGGTTTATTTTGTAAGGTGTAGTGTGAGAACCCTGAAAATAGAAATATAAATATCAGTGCATATTTTATTTGCATTTTAATTCTTTAATAAATTTTAGCACGAAGTCCAATTGTTTTTAAATAAGTATGTAGAATTAAACGTTATGTGCAAAATAAAAGAATTGTGCTAAACTACTAAACTTCTTAGTTTTGTTACATTAACTTCATATTTCGATGGTAAACTATTTCATTGATCTAATCATTAATTACTTTGAATTCTAGTATTGTAACTAATTGTTTTGAAATAAAAGTGTAAAGATAATTTCTATGTAATAAATAATATAATTGTGCCAATATTAAATTATTCGGTTTTGCTATACTAAATTAATATTTCTTGAGTTAGATTAATTCTATTACTTTAAAATAAATTCTTTGATTTCCGATAACTAGTTTTAATCGTTAATAATGTTAAATGTTAATAGGAATTTTCGCGTTAAGATCAAAACCAATGAATTTTAGATAAATATGATTCTAATATACTAAACATACTTAATGCGTGAAAATTCGATAAATATATCCTTATCTTTCGTTGTTTTCGCAATAAGTGCGTAAAAATACTCTTATGTGCAAATTGACACCTTGGATTTAATTATTATTTCACTTGACTTTATATTATTAAATCAATAAATTTCGAGTTAGACTAACTCTATTTCTTGAGAAATAATAATTGGAAATTATAATAACTAATTTAATCGCTGAATAATATAAGAATTACTAGGAACCTTAATATTCAAGTTTAATCGATAATTATTCGATAAAAAAATGGGTTAGGTATATTAGAGTATAATTAGGCGTTTGAATCGCGCTTGGGGATAATTTTAGAATTAAGATGGAATTGAGAAATTAAGTTGAGGTTAGGGAGTGAAGTGAAAAGGCTAAAATACCTTACCTTACCTTTCCATGCAAACCAAACGAGACGTCTGACTGCAAATCAAATCACGCAATTATTACCAAAATTGTACGCAAGCCGCTCTTACACGCAAACTATTCTCCTAAACAGCGGCACTTGTATCATTCTCTTTGTTTCACGTCTCAAACCACAATACTTTCTAATACCACTCAATCTATTTCAACCACGGCCCACAATATTTCTTCATACTACCAATCCAATTCATATCACAAAACCACGATACCATTTGCTCTATTTCACAGCCACAAGACACAATACCAATTTCCTTCTCTGCACAAACCACAAACCGCAACTTCCTTTCTTCTCTGTACAAGCAAACCGCTTCCTTTCTAAATACCGAGACACCACCTTCATCAAATTCCATTTCTTTTCTGCACAACTCCACCGAAACCACTGCACTCCATCTTCATCGTGAAAAGGTAGCATCCGAGAGCAAGAGAGGGAGAGCTGCTCCTCGTGAGTATCGACTGAAGAAAAGCCGCGAGCTGCATTTTCCTTTTGTCTCTACTCTGTCCGTAGGCTGAGGGAAGAGACCAGGGAAGTCAACCTCAGACCAACATCCACCAGCTGCAACCACCTACATCACAACACCATTTCCAGCTGCAAATTGAACGTAGGACCAAACAGGGTGCGTGAGAGCCGAGAGGAAGGAAGAAAATTCCAGATTTCTGTGCGTAAGTTTAGAGTGTATCTAAGGTAAATTTCTGGGCTAATTAAGTTAAGTATTATCAGAGGAAGTCTTATCAGAGGTTGCATGTAATTTTAAGCAGCCGGTTATGGAAATCAAGGTCTTAGAAAAATTCTGCTTTGGAAGTAAAAGTTCTGCCGAGAATTTGACATGATATTTCCTCTTTGATCTGGTTTATTTGATGTGAATTTTGTGGTTTAAGCTTATAATCATAATTAGATAGCTAATAACAAGAAATTAGGCTCTGCATGGGGTCAATTAGTTGGTTAAAGCAGGAAAAAAAATTAAGAGTGCAATCTGCCTCAGGGCATGATCAACCGAGCCAAGCAAGGAAAATTTTGGAAATTTTTTATGTTAACGGTTGTTGTTTGAGCTTGATTTCAGAACTGGACACGTTTACTTGCTAGCCAGATAGGTGTAAATGGAAATTGAGAGTTTAAAGGCATGTTTAAAACCCGAAAATGAAATGAAAACAGAAAGCCCTTCATGCATTGATGCAACCGTGACTAGTTGGATGAGATTTCTGATTTTTTTTTTATTTGTTATATGAACCTGGTTTTGAAGTGGAATTTTTTAGCAACTAACTAGGTGTTTATATGCTGAAATTGAGTACCTAGCACCATGTTTAAACCAAGGGAAATTTTGATATAAAGCGTATTGGTGGCTGGAAAATGTTGGAGGCCGCTAGCCAGGTTGAACCAGCAATTTCAGTTTGTTTTTGGAGTTTAATTGGTTTTTGGTAATTTATTTTATTTTCCTGGAAGTATGATGGTTTGGAAGTACAATAGGGTTGTAAGTTTTAAATTGTATAATTTGTTTAGCAAGGAAATATTTGATATCTTGAATGATTTAACCAAACATGTGGGTATACAAATGCTGGAAACTTTCTTGTGGCTGCCGAAAGTTGAGTTGAAATATCAACTTGGATTTTGGAAATTTTCTTGGACATATAATGGATGGCAATGCCTGGAAAATGTTGTTTTGAAGTTCTATAAGAAGTATAAAGATGGTTTGAATAAAAACATTTTGGTGTTAAAAGAGAAAAAAGAATTTTCACAAGTGAAAAATGGAAGTTCCAGATTTTCGGATATTCCATGACCAGTCTCAATAAAATGTTGATATTTTGGTGTAGGAAAATCCGTTTAAGGCGCCGTCAGTGGCGTTTGAAACTAGAATCATAGGCCTTTGTTCTGTAGAAATTTCGTACTTTTCCTCCATGTGTACTGCTGTCTGTGAAACCTTGAAGTGGACTGTTTTGGTATGAATGTCCTGTTTTCTTCATGGAATTAAATTCTGATTTGAATTGAACTTGTAGCTTACTTGTGGTTTAAATTCTTGATTAAATTGTGGTTGGAAGTGATTAATGTTGTCAAAGGCTAATGATTGATGAAGCCCTTGGCCATCTGAATGATTTTATTAGTACTACAGGGTGATGAAAGTTAATTGCTGGAATGTCTTGGAGGCTTTACTTTTATTTTTAATTGTTTATGATGGGTTTGCTGAAACCAAGTGCTAATGATTGATGAAGCCTTGGTTGACTATTTTATTTTATTCAGAGGTGCACTTGTTGAAATCTAGGGCTAATGATTGACGAAGCCCTAGTAATTTGCTATGTGATTATTTGCCATATTTTAATCCATATTATGACTTCGAAACGGAATCGGAGCTGTGGAAGTTGTATCGACCTTGCGAACTTGAGTAACTGTGATCAAATTAATCAAAAATATTCTCCAGCTAGTATTAAATTATAAAAACTCAATATCTAGTGTTTTGCCTAAAACTTTCCAACTCGATAATTTTCTTTAGCTCAAACTAGCCTTGATAGCTATAGTAAATAAGTTCTATAGCTTTTGGAACTCTAAGTCTTATTTTAATTCTTTTTCTTTCTTTAAGCTTTGCACTTGGATAGTTAACTATAGGAAAAGTTCCAAAATACGAGCTTTACTAAGATTAGTGAAAAGCTTGGGAGACTTGCTCGGCAAGAAACCCTATTTTAGGAAAAATAGTTCTTAAGGATAATTTTTGCAAAAGCCGTAACTTTAGAGAAATGTTCAAAGTAACTTTCTAACATTGTTGTTGAGAGATTTGTCGACTTATTTCAAGAAAAGGATGCTAGTTACCCTTTATAAGGAAGAGTATCTTACGGAAAACTATAAGAAACATTTCTTCTAAATTTGTCAAGTTTCAACCTATGGAAATTCTTGATTTTTCTAAGGGAAAGTGAACTAGTAGTATATTAGATATACCTCAATATCTATAAGCTTAAAAACTGAGTAAAAACTCATAGTTTCAAAATTTGGTTTCTAGGATTTTGCGAGGACGCGGAATTCGATTCTCAACTTGATATCTGAACTCCACTCTTGGTGAGTGTCCCTGCCTGTTCTATGTTTACTTGGTTAAAGTGCTTTCTTGACTCGATATGTGATAATTTGCAAAACTAGTTTTTGATCCATCGAAGTGAGCAGTGTGTACTTTATCACACTAGCCGTTCGAGTGGTGACTTGTGTGAAGTGTTTTTCGTGAATATTTTGCTTGCGCTTGCTATAAGTGTTGGACGTAAAGTCGTTGGGTGAATCCCTCGATCAGTCTATAATAATCAAGTTGGGTGAATCCCTCGATCAGTCTATAATAATCAAGTGCTGGACGTAAAGTCGTTGGGTGAATCCCTCGATCAGTCTATAATAATCAAGCGGTGGACGTAAAGTCGTTGGGTGAATCCCTCGACCAGTCTATAAATATAAGTGTTGGACGTAATGTCGTTGGGTGAATCCCTCGACCAGTCTAAGGTATACCCGAATATTATTGCTTCCCTATTTGTTTACTTCAGTCGAATCAATACGTGTTAATTGTTTCAAGTGATTGCATGATTTTGGGGCACCACTGAGCTTTAGCTCACCCCACGTTTATTTGTTTTCCTTGACAGGTTCTGGAAACTGAAAGCCTTGAACTTACTTATGTTTCTTTTCTTTTGGATGTAATGGATATTATGGCTATTGTGTGGGTTGTATTATGCTTCAACATGAATTATGTACTTTTGTTTTAGATTGCCACTTGATGCTGGAAAAGTGTAAAACCTAATTTCGATATCTGGTTCGTATGAATTTTATTTGTATACCCGATTTGTACAACCCTATTCCCTGGTTGTAGCGCATGGGATGTTTAGGGGCCGTTGACTGGCCGTTTTAAATTACTGCTACCTCTGAAGTTAATGTGGTTTAGTGATTGACTTTTTTGAGGGAAGCGATATTGTAATAGTTTAGGTTATTCTTCGGAAGGATTCGGGTTAGTGTGCGTGCGTGAGTCCTGGCGAGAGTTGGGCAGACGGCCCGCCAACCCTCTGGTTCGCCTTAGGGGAAAGTGGGGTCGTCACAGGTAGGCTAGCTCGTTTGTTTTGCTTGGGTCTCGGTTTGGGGCTAAGAGTGGTTTTGGCCCAAGAAATGAATAAAATGGCCCAATGGCCTGGCCCGCCAAGAATCTGGTAACCAAATTTGCAAATCAGCCCTTGAACTTTTCTTTAATTCCTCTATGGCCCTACAAACTTTCAATGCTTTCAATTGGGTCCCTACTTTAATTGTAAATAGGTCCCTAAACTTTATTTTTCTTTAATTTTGACCCTAAAGCTTTGTTAATTTTTGCAATCAAATCCTTTCTTCTTTTACCCTTTTTAAATGTGGGTTGTTTACATGATTTAATTGATTCAATTTCATGTTCATTTTTATCTTTTGTGATTATTTGTTAATTAAAGTGATGCCTTGACCTTTTCTTTTATTTTGGAGGGTAAATAAGTAATTTCATCCTATTAGGGCATCAACTCAAGGGAGGTACACTCTATCCTTTATTCTTGACTTTATTTGACCTTATGTGCCTTATGTGACTTTATGTGCTCAATTGCATGCCATTTGAATGCTTTCATTTTATTTATTTATTTAATCGCTTTGTTTGTTTTAATTTAGTATTTTTATTTTATTTTAGTTCAATTTTTGATCATTTGAAAGGCACTTGAATGCCACAATTGTAATAGTTAGGCTATTATATCCTTTCATTTAATTCCTTCCCTCTTAGATTGTAGTAGGCTTCCCCCCCTGAATGTAATAGTTAGGGCTTTGTTTGTCTTACTTGCCTTGTGTGTGTTGCATGCTTATGTGCTATGTGTTACCACTTTCCTAGGACGTGCATCTAGATATCATGCTTATTTGTTATGTGTCTATGTGATATTATGTGTTTACATGCTTTTATTATATTTCACATGATTAGTTAGTTATGATTAATGTGTGACGTTATCACACTAGTCCAATGCTAGTTGTGATCCATTTCCCGAATCCGCACTAGTCCAATGCTAGTTGTGGCTCTTTGTTCGATTTCTCATTAGTCCAACGCTAGTGAGAAAGTAGAAATATGGGCTAGTCCAATGCTAGACCCTTAGGGACCTCCCTCGTTAGATCATGCTTGTATGATTACATTACACTTCATGCATATTTTTCCATTTTTAGGATTTTTTTTCACATAATATTTCCCCTAATAAAATATCCCTTACCCCTATGTATATATAACATTTAGATTTGCATCTCATTTAGGAAATTAGGGGGTAGATTAGTGCATTTTGCCTGATTAGACTAGAGATAACCCCTTGGATATGGGATACTGACGAGTTTGGCTTTCTAGCCTTAGCAAGCTCGTATTCCCTCTATTAAAGGAAAAATTGAGTCACGAACATTAGTTTCCCGTACCCGACATGATGTATTTTTTTAAGACATGTATATTTCTATAATTATTTTATTCTTTTCCTTTTCTTGGAGTCTCATATTTTTGCATCATTCGTGACCTCTCCAAAGAGTCATTATTGGGCATCACAATTAATGTGATTGGCACCATTGAAACTTTTGAAGAGAAATTTTGTCCCCCGATACCCTCCTAGGTCTAGGGTTTGCATTCATATAGTGCATCCAAATGTGATAAATGCTTTGGTTAAAACAAGAAAATCTTTGACTAAATCACGCAACTAGCCTTGGCTAGGTCGAAGGGGTGCCTTGGATTTTTATCCTTGCCTTCCCCTTCATCAAATGTGACTCCCGAATCTTTTTCTCTGATTTTTCGTAGACTTGGAGTCGTTTAAAAAGGATTTTCTATTTTTTCTTTAAAAATTCATTTTTAGGTGATTTGGTACACCTTAACTCTATACCAAATGGCGACTCCGATTTTTTTTTCAAAAATCCTTTTTAAACTATATTTTGGGTCAAATCGTCGCATTACAAGTCCTATTTAGACCCACATTTTTCTTCATTTTCTTTGTAAATCAAGAATACATTCTTTTCAAATAAAAATTCACTTTTTAAACCAATTTATTTATTTTCTTATAAAAAATGGGGCGCGACAAGTAAGATGCCCTGGACCAATCTATCCTACGAACAATCGCAAATTCGAGAAGTGCCAAGTGCGGGGTACCTCTACTCCGTCTAATTTCGCAAGCTTACAGTACCAAACCCGGCTTGTCTCTAAGACCTTGTACGGCCCCTCCTAGTTTGGATCAAACTTGTTGGAGCTATGAGCTCGGCTGACTGAGTTCTTTCTTAGGACGAGGTCACCCGGCTGGTACTGCGTATTCCTCACCTTTACGTTATGATAGCGGGCAAGCTGGCTCTTGTACTTAGCCATCCGTATCGCCGCTTCCTCGCGCTTGGCCTCCAGCATGTCCAAGTTACACCTCATTTCTTCTTCATTGGCTGACGCAACGAAGTTCTGTATCCGAGGGGAGGGGAGGCCGACCTCCGCGGGCACTACCGCCTCCGCCCCGTAAGTCAGGGAGAACGGGGTCTCATGAGTAGCTGTCCTCGACGTAGAGCGATAAGCCCAGAGGACCTAGGGAGTTCATCTAGCCAGTTAGACTGGGCCAGTTCCAGCCTAGTCTTCAACCCTTACGGAATGGTTCGATTAACATTTTCTACTTGGCCGTTGGCCTGGGGATGACCGACCGAGGTGAAGTGTTGGCTGATCCCGAACTCAGCGCACCAGCTCCTGAAGGGTTTTTCGGTGAACTGTCGCCCATTGTCGGATATCAAGACATGTGGGATCCCGAAGCGGCATACTATGTTCTTCCAGAAGAACTTCTGAATTGCCCTTCCAGAGATAGTGGCTAGAGGTTCGGCCTCCATCTACTTTGTGAAATAGTCGATGGCCACCACGAGATGTTCGTACCTTCCGGGAGCTCGGGGAAAGGGACCCAGGAGGTCTATTTCCCACTGGGCAAAGGGCCAAGGACTGTGGATGGGGACCATCTCCCGAGTGGGCTGGTGACGCAGCGGGGCGTGCACCTGGCAGGCTCGGCATTTCTGAACAAAAGCCGCGGCATCCCGAAACACCGAGGGACAGTAGTAGCCTAGGAGCAGGCATTTTTTGGCCAACACTCGGGACCCCACATGTGCTGCGTACAGGCCTTCGTGAACTTCTCGGAAGATATAGTCGCCCTCCTCAGGAGTTATGCACTTTAGCCAGGGAGACAGATACGACCTCCTGTAGAGGATCCGCCCGACGTACGCGTACTTAGCAGCTCTGAGCTGGAGTCGGCGAGCCTCGATTTTGTTTACTGGGAGGGCACCCGAGCTGAGGAAGTTTACGAGGGGAGTCATCCAAGTGGCCGGGCTGTCTATAGTCAAGACCTGGATCTGGCCAATGCTTTTTTGCTTAACTACCTCCACCAAGACTTCCTTACTCAGGTGGACAAACGAGGAGGACGCTTGTTTCGACAGGGCGTCTGCCCGCTTATTCTGTGACCTCGGCACCCGCTCAATCTCGAAAATGTCGAACAGTTTTATCGCCTTCCGCACCTTAGCCAAATATTCTTTCATGACATCCTCCTTGACCTCGTACTCCCCGCGGACCTGGCAGACTACGAGTTGAGAGTCACTCCGGACCCTGATCGCGGTTATACTCATCTGGTGGGCAATCCGCAATCCTGTCAATAGGGCCTCGTACTCAGCCTCATTGTTGGATGCCGGGAAGTCAAATCTGAGTGCATAGGTCAGCTCCTCCCCGGTGGGCGAGGTGAGTAGCAGGCCGGCTCCGCTCCCTTCCTTACTCGAGACTCCGTCCACAAATAATACCCACGGCTCTTCCTGCCGTGCCTCTTCGGGCAAAGAGCTCGACTCAGTCACTGACAAACTGGCTCCCTCGGCGAGAAAGTCTGCCAGGGCCTGAGCTTTGATAACGGTGCGAGGCTGATAGCCGATGTCGTGCTCTGCCAGTTCGACGGCCCATTTGGTCATTCTTTCCGAGACCTCAGGTTTTGTGAGTATCAGGCGTAAGGGTTGATCCGTCATGACAACAACGTTGTGGGCCTGGAAGTAAGGTCAGAGCTTCCGGGCGGCGTGCACCAAGGGAAGGACCAATTTTTCCGTCGGCGTGTACCGCGTCTCCGGCCCTTGTAAAGCACGGCTAACGTAGTATATTGGCCTTTGAGCCTCCCTGTCCTCCCGCACCAAAACAGCGCTAACGGCCTCGTTGCAAGCAGACAAATACAGGAACAGGGTTTCTCCCTGCTCCGGGGCAGTCAGAGCAGGCAGCTCAACCAGGTATGCTTTTAGGTCGGTGAAGGCTTTCTGGCATTCCTCCATCCATTGAAAGTCCTTTGGTGCTTTTAGGATTCGAAAAAATGGTAGCCCCCTTACCGCGGAGCGCGAGAGGAATCTATTCAGGGCGGCCATCCTTCCCGTGAGCCGTTGGACCTCCTTGACGTTCCTCGGGGGGACCATTTCCATGATGGCCTGGAGCTTATCCGGGTTGGTCCGGATCCCCTCTCGGGAGACCAGAAAACCCAGGAACTTTCCTGACCTGACCCCGAAGATATATTTCTTTGGGTTCAGCCGCATCCGGCTTTCCCACAGGATGTTCAGGATTTCCCTCTGGTCGGGAACGAGCTGCCGGTCAGTTCGACTCTTGACGATCATATCGTCCACATAGACCTCCATACTCCTGCCGATCTGACTCTGGAATAGTTTGTTGACCAGGCGCTGGTAGGTAACTCCAGCGTTTTTCAATTCAAACGGCATTGTCCGGTAGCAGTACGTCCCTTCCTCGGTGATGAAGGAAGTCTTTTCCCGATCTTCCTCGACCATCTCTAT